GACCCCCCAGAGTCACCCCAGAGTCACCCCGACCTTCCCTCACCCCCCAGAGTCACCCCAGCATCCCCGACCCCCTCCGTGTCCCCTCCTGACCCCCAAATCTCTTTGTTCCCCCCCCCTCTCCAGAAAGCCAGGGTGGCCAAGAAGAGCCAGAGCCCCCTGCCCCTGACAGAGGTGAGTGTGGGACCCCCGGGGGTGGGGAGGGGCACAGTGAGGACCCCCGGGTGTTCCTGGGGACCCCTCAGGTGTTTCTGGGCCCCTCCAGGTGTTCCTGGGGACCCCCTCACCCCCATTTCTTCCCCCCACCCCCACCAGAAATGGAAGCCCCCCGTGGAGCGGGAGCCCAGCGACACCTCCGGCATCAGGCACAGAGTGAGTGGGACACACCTGGGCACACCTGGAACCCCCAGACCCCCCTCACTGACCCTCACCCCTCCCTCCCAGAAGACGCTGACCAAGGGCAAGGAGAAGAAGAAGCCGGGGCGACCCCCGAAGCCCCCCGGGCCCCGCGGGGTGAGTGACAGGCCGTGGCCACGCCCCCTGTGTGTTTGCCACGCCCCTTCACCCATGGTCACGCCCCTCCCACAGCAGCTATTAGAGGTGGGGGAAGCCGTAATGCCCTTAATAGAAGAGCCTGGAAAAAAGGGGGTAGAATTGGGGTGCAGGTACCGTAATGATCCTAAAGGCTGTGCCAGGTGATAATAGTGGGGTTCAGGCCCTGCAATAATGGGGTGCAGGTACCGTAATGATCCTATGAGCCGTTCCAAGGCTGAATATTGGGGTTCAGCACATTTAAAGCCAATAAATGTTGGGGTGCTGGTACCATAATACCCCTAATACTGGGGCCAGGTCACTGTGACACCCCAAAAACTCTTCACAACTCCAAATAATGGGGTCCAGGTACCCCAAAACCCCCCATAGCGGGGTTTGCTTACCGTAATCCTCCTAATAACCGCTCCAGGTTCAATGGCAGGTACCAATATTGGGGTGCAGGTACCGTAATGCCTCAAATACCAGGGCATCACGTACCTTAATGCCTCTAATAGCTGCTCCTACCGTAATTCCCGCCTTCAGCTTAACGCGCTGCTGCCGCAATACCCCTAATACCGCCGCACTCACCGTAACGCTGCTAATAGCTGCTCATCCCGTAATACTCCTAATACCGCCGCGTTTTACCGTAACGCTGCTAATAGCTGTCCCTACCGTAATGCTCCTAATACCGTCGACCACACCGTAACGCTGCTAATAGCTGTTCCTACCGTAATATTCCTAATACCGCCGCACGTACCGTAACGCTGCTAATAGCCGCTACCACCACCCCGTTCCCCCATAACGCCGGGCCCTTGGGGACAGCTTGGGGGAGCCGGGGGTGACGCCGCTCTCTGCCGGCAGCGGGGGGTGCGGAGCCGGGCCAGCCGGCGCTGCGGGGTGTGCACGGCCTGCCGGCGCCCGGCCGACTGCGGCCGCTGCGACTTCTGCCGGGACAAGCCCAAGTTCGGGGGGCAGAACCTCAAGCGCCAGAAGTGCCGCTGGAGGCAGTGCCTGCGCTGTGCCATGGTGGGTGCCCCCCGGTGCTTCTTTCCCCCAGTGCCTCCCAGTTACGGTCCCAGCGAGCCCCAAAAGCCTCTCCCCCCCTCCGCCCCCCTCTCCTCAGCGACCCGACTCCTTCGGCTGGGGAAACTGAGGCACGCTCCAGGTTCAGGCTCGCCCTGCCCGCCCCGGCGCTGGGTGCAGCCCAGTTTGGACCAGTATGGACAAATTTGGGGTGGGAGGTGGAAGGGGGTGGGGCGTTGGTTGGCACCCAGGTGGCACCTGGACACCTGGGTGCTGATTTTTGAAGGGGGTGGGGAGGGGTTGCCCCGACGCCTGGGTCCTTCCTGCATTGCTTGGCTTTGGGTGCCTTTATTTGGGGGGGGGGGTCTGGGGGTCCCTCTGCCAGCCAGGCCCACCTTGGGTGGGTTGGGGGGGGGGAGAGGAGTTGGGATTTATTCCTTCCGAACTCCACATCCCCCTCCCCTTTGGAACTCGGGGTGCCCCAGCCCCTCTGAGGTCTCTCTCCTGGCGCAGAGGCGGCTGCTGCCGGTGGGGGGGGGTCGCTGGGGGCCCCCCTGGAGCCGCCGCCCCCTCCCCCC